TCCTTCAAAGTTTAAGAATTTTATTTTTAAAAAAATTCAAAATAAAAAGAAAAAAATGATTGCTGCACAACTCATAATATTTGATTTATTTAATTATGAGATTAAAATAAACACCATTGAATTTCGACGTGACTTTAATTCACAGTCGCAGTGTTAAGGCTTTGCACGTTTCAAGATTGTCAATCATTTGTGGCTTAAAGTTTTCATTTAAAGATGTCATTCCCAAATTGCTGAGAATCTCTTCTACGACAGTTTTCTCTCCCGCCATTTTTAGTGCTTGCGGAACGCGGAAAATACGTTATGCTCATATAAAGGCCGAGGATACCCGTGTTCGCATAACGTAATAGTGAATCGACATAATGTAGAAGAGTGCGCACAGTATGGCATGAGCTTTTCACATCAGTTAATAAAAACTAAGATCTCATGAAAAGTAAACATAACGAAATGCAAGTTGACGAAATATAATTGTAGTATATGTAAATGTCATAAAGAGTTGACATAATGTAAAGGTAAGTTAACACGATGCAATAGTAGTGTGGGTTAATTTCATAAAGAGTTGACATAATGTAATGGAAGGTTGACACAATGCAATAGTAGTGTGGGTTTATATGTCATAAAGAGTTGACATAATGTAATGGAAGGTTGACACAATGCAATAGTAGTTTGGGTTAATGTCAGAAAGAGTTGACATAATGTAATGGAAGATTGACACAATGCAATAGTAGTGTTCTGCTATAAGGCAGTGACGGCGTTCCATAAAATGTGAATGAGACAAATTGATGTGAGTCAAATGTCAAACTTAAAACGTAAAAGAAATAGCCAAAACTTTGGTGTTTCCAAAATGGAAACAAGAAGAAAACCCCTCGCGTTTGTTTCAAAATATTTCCCTAATGGAAAACCTAAAAGAACTTTATGTTAAATATTTTATTTCGAAATTTGTGTGAAAAAACATAAAGGGTTTTTCCTAAAATGGAAAGAAATATATAAGCTACTGATGGCATTATTCCCATAAGTTTTAACAAGCTTTACACGTTTACAGAAACATTAGTATTTTGAGGTCCTCAAATTGAAATTGCGATATTCAATTTCAACACTTTTTTTTACTATTGCCAATTTTACAAAATAAAGTAACTTTCAAACCAAAAAATGTGATAATCATACATTGCTCAAATTTATACTTTGATGAGGAGGAGGCCGATGATGGACTAGTTTCACGATTTTTATTTTAACTAAAAACATCATTTCAAGTTTCACACTCCAAACTTGAAAATGATGCGACACTTGACACTCATATTATCCAAAAGCCTACTAGTGACTACTTGACTTGACTCATCTAGTTTATTTTCCAAATGCCATTTTTGGAAGGACTGTGTATGTACCCCATGAAAATACAAAACATATTTCCAAGGATTTATTACAGGAAACTGAATATAACTGTTAATTAGGTTTATGATTTCAATTCCCGTATAGTTAAACTGCAAGACTTGATTTTATAGCAGATCCTGACAATTGTGATGGATAAACAAAAGATACTTTTATACATGTTATCATATAATGTTATGTGAATATTAAACTTAATCGTATACCTGTAGGCACTGCTTGTAAAGATCATTAGGTACTGTACAAATGCATTGAGTTTTGTCAAAATAACAATATTTCGAATGTAATACATGTACATGTATAGTTGATGAAGAGATTAACTCACTGTATCTACTAAAAATTGCAGTAGATTAGACATTGTGATGTAGTGTAAAAATGTTCAAATCATTTAAAAAATACTTCATGTCTGTTGTCCATTTACTCTTTAAAATGACAGATATATGCTTTAGAAATTATACAAGCAGTCAACAGAACTAAAAAAAAAAATAATACAGGTCTAGACTATGTTTAAGTTTGTAACAATATACATGAATTCTAGTACATAAACAATGTCATGTTTTGTCCCGAATTGTTCAATTACGTCTCTTTCTTTATGCTTCATGAAGGAGAAACCACAAGAGTACTATGCAACAATATACCTGTATTCAAGAAGTATTCTAAATCAGATGTGGATTTTTAAGAATAACAAAGGATATTTTTGATTATTTGAAATCACAAGATTAACCAAAATTATCAGCTTAAAAACTTGCGATTTTCAACTTAATACATAACCATTCCGCTAGAAAAATTACAGTGTGATGTCACTGGCATCTGCTTTTTCTTTAAAAATGGAACTTGTCATTGGTCATTTACAAAAACATTCTTATTGTACAAGTAGACTGTACACACAAGTATTCTGAAGTCGACATCAAAATGATGCTTGAGTTTCCGATTGACAATATCTATGTTGTTTCGGAAACCAGGTCCTTCAACAATCTATTGGAATTCCCATGTGTACCTATTGCGCCCCGTTGTTGGCAGTCTTATTTTTGTATTCATATGAAGCAGACTTTATCCAAAATCTTGTACTTGAAAATGGGAAAACACTTGCTGTGGCCTTTTTCTCGACTTTTAGGTATATCGACGACGTATTATCAATTAACAATGGTGATTTTTATACCTATGTCGATACGATATATCCTGATGAGCCTGAGATAAAAATACCACAGAATCTGACACAACTGTTTCATACTTGGATATTTTACTTGAAAAGAACGTTACTGGTAATCTAACACCGAACTCTTTGATGAACGGATGACTTTAATATTTCTATCGTCAACTTCATGGATCAAGATATTAACAAGGTCATCCTCTGCTACTCCTGGGTCAATGAAACACTACTGCCTGTAACTGAAGACAGGTTAGGAACTCAAGTATGGGGAAGTTAGATCCTGAGCGGATTTTGGTTCTGTCCTTTATTTATAAAATTCTGCATAATTTTTACGTTCTAACAATAAGTCTAAATTCGTGATCAAATCCATTCAAGCATCTACAGAATTAAGCTAGGTACTATATTTTGTGCCAGAAGGTTTTTTAGAAGAAAATGATCAGTTTTTTACCTTATGGGCTATAGCAGTACATATTTTAGATTCCTGTTTTTCCATGCTGGTTGCACACCAAGCTGTTTTTGCAGTGACAAGTGTTATCCTGGTTCGGAAATATCTTTAAATTATTTCTTATTAATTCTTTTAACGAAGAGTGACAAATAAGTATATTCTGAAAATCCGGGGGGGGGGGGGGGGGGGGGGGGAATTTAGCCAATTTTAATATCTAAAAATTTACATCTCATACTCTACAAATATGAGGTTCTTTTCTTTATATTAAAGATAGCTTTGACCTATTTGCTTAAATTCAACAAAAAGTTTACGACTTCAAAATAATTTTCTTTTGCTTATTAAATTTTCAATGCAACAAAAATCACTTTATTAGTGCTGAAAAGTCAAATGATTGATTATGCCAAGTAAATTGAAACTTTTTCTTCGTCACAATTTTAAAGTGACTTTTTTTAGTAGACTTAGAATTCATTTTGTTTCATGCTTTAATTTGATAAAAATATTGTAGGGAAAACGTTGAAGATTTAATTTTTAATCAAACACAAATTTCAGTGCAAAAAAGTCATATTAAATGTACTGTAGTGCCAAAAGAAGCATATTGACCCCCTCCTTTTTTAAATTTTGTTCTATTCAGTGAAAAGAATTTAGAACTTTCAAAAATTCTTTATCTGATTTTTTTAATTTATTGAAATTAAATTTTCTAAAACGCAAATGTAAAGATTTGTTTAGTAATTTTCTATGTTTTAATAATTTCTTGATTTTGGCATTTCGACTGAACTGTACCAAAAATTCTGCTGTAAGAAGATATTTTCAGAGATCATCAAGCTTTCTCCCTTTAGGTTTATGGAATGTTTTTCCACATCTGCACCAGGCAGGAGAAGATTTGCTGTCAGGATTTTGGAACCCCGATGGTCACCCACCTCCTTACAAAAAACAGAATGAGACTGAGGGTTATTTGACGTTGACTTGACGTAAGTTAACTAGTTGTTTTAGATAAAAAATTAACTAGAAATATGTCCATAGGACATATGAAATTTGACCGGATTATATACGGGTTCTTTGTCATTATATACTTGTATTTTGTCATCTTATGCTGGTATTTTGTTATTATAAAGATTGTTGAGCAGTACACACGCTTTTTTGCAAAACATCAGCATATAGTGCTCAGGTATCATCATATAATGTCAATAACATATTAAAGCAGTTACGGCGTTCGAAAGTCTTGGATAGTTTCTTTGAACCTGAGCTTTGAAGTAAGCCAAACGCGAGAAGAACGGAAGACGGACATGACAAACACTGTACATGTATGCTCCCGTCATATTCACGTCGGGGCATTAAAATTACTTTAGTTCCGAAATGTGGATGTGATCAATGTTATTTGCAATCAAATTCCAGAGTTTGCAATATATGATTGGTTGTTAATTGTTTACCACCTAGCTGTAAATATTTTGGCCACAGATTGCATATGCTGAAGTTTATATAAGTACAGTCCGTGAAACGTTCTACTTTCCCATTTTTCCTTTTGCTCACTGTTCACTGTTCGTTCAGCGTGCTTTCAACGAGGTTTCCACCTCGATGTTAAACAATTAACAATCTATCATATATAATAAATTCTGGAATGTGATTGCAAACAACATTGATCACATTCAAATGTTGGAACTAGGTGAACTTACATATATATCAAGGTTATTAGTATCAAGTACGATATAGTTATCTAAATATTTATCTCAAATGTAAATAAAAGATCCACAACAATGTAAAGAAAAGAATTGATCAAATATCTTTTTATAAGCCATATTTGATCATGTAACTAAATAAGTACATTTTCAGTGATTTTTCAACAAATATGTTTCCTTATAAACACAAGAGCGGTAACACAAATTTACCAAGCATGAGTGTTAGATTATCTGAAATAAAATTAATATATATTATTGTTTTGTGTCTTGCAAATACCGGTACACAGAGACAGTAAAACTGAATGTAGTTGATCCGCCTCCTAGCTCCGACCCAGAAATTGTGTTGGGACGTGGAGGACATTGTTTTGATGTGAGGAGGAAGGACAGGAACCGACCATTAATGTCAAGCAAGTGGACACTAGTGAAATTCTCATGAAGAAAAGGATAGCTATTACACACTAAAATGTGTCCCAGAACATCTGTACATAAACCACTGGGCCGGAATCCAGTCTGAGACTGAGACTGATGACCAGCGTAAGAAAACCGGAACTCTTCTGATGCGGTCACCACCATTACCTTACAGGCTTCCGAGTCAGATGTACAGATGTCACCATTGATATTCTCAGTGATGTAGTTAACACTTTGGTAAAGAGATTGTCCTTCATCATCCCACTGTATGTCCTATAACTTCCGTCCTTCTCTGTTGTATCTAGTTATTTTGTTGTCTCTATTTTTCTCCGACCCGACTAATATGTGTCCATTGATAGGAGAGGAGTAGATGGCTCCAGGTTCCCAGCTCCTTGTCTGGATAAGTTTGTTGATGAACGTGTCACTAGTTACCCTGTTTACAGTGTTTTTGCTGTTATCTGTGTAAAGAAGTTCTCCTTTTGACATGACAGTGTGGTTACCTATGGTATTCCATGTAATGGTTGATATTTTCTGTAAGATGTTTCCTTCCATATCATACTGAATGAGATTCCCTAGGCCATCACCGGTCCAAAATTTATTAGGGGGCAAGGGAGACAAATGGTAAATGTTATTTCCCTGGATAGTGACGTCATTTACTTTTGTGACAGAAGAAAGCTTAAACCTTTCCAATGAATTTACTTCAATTTCACCAAAATATTTGGCTATTTCTCCTTTTTGTAATATACAGGGAGTGTAAATTGGCAGTTTAGGTTTATTTTTGTTAGGCATCTTCAGAGAAGCTAATGAAAATTCTATATAGAAGTCCATGAGTTCAGTGTGTTTTATGCATGAAATTTTACTCTCATAGTCTGAAATCAATTTTTCCAGGTACTTCATGTAGTCCTCTGTTTCTATCTGTTGTGCCACTAAATCATTTAGGACAGAGTTCTCGATCTCATCCAGTTTTTTGTTATTATCAGTCAGTATATTGTCAACAGTCTCCTTCAGTTCATCTGCTCTCTTCTTCATGGAAACTCTAAACTTGGCAATTTCTTTTTCGACATTATTCCTCTTTTCTCCAATCGAATTGACACTGTCTCTAGTCCCAGGAATTACTGTTCTCCAGATCTCATTTATTTCCCTCTGGCATTGCTGTAGAAAGTCATTGTAGATGGTTTCAAGGTCACTGAATTCATGGTCACTGTGATTTTGGGCAAAGCATATAGAGCAGATAGGATCATAACAATCATCACAGAAGACATCTAAATCTTCTGTGGGGTGGATCCTGCATTTCTCTGAAGGAAGTTTTCGTTTTCTCTTGTGATAGAGGGCAATCTCATGTCCATTGTCCTGCTCTAGATGGGGCTGTTTGCAATTGTCACAGATTCGCTGATGACAGGTATTGCAGTAAAATTCAGAGAAGTTTCTACAGGATTCCGTGTCACACTCGATGTAGTGCTGGGCTGTATCTGGTACTTGGTCCATTATTGTTATTCAAATATCTTTAAAAAAAATATTTATTATCAGATTGTAGGTAAGATGCTTAAAAATGGATATGGCTAACAATGCATGCTACCCTCTATATTTTAAAAAAAATTCTTGTAAGCTATTTTACCTTTCCTGTGATCTTGTAAATAAATCTCTTGCACACCGCCCTACAGTCGTGACTGGTGTCAGCAATCGATTATTAAAGTGTATTTACGCAATATACCAACTGCTTCAACAAAACATTTAAATCTCCATGCAGTGTTTGTAAAGGTGCAGAAGTGAAAGAGACAAAAAATGGGACTGGAATAAAACGCATTGATCTAGATAAGGTAAGCTCTGTGAAGTGGAACATTATGTCAAAGAAAAGTGTTTGGTTTTCTTTATAAATGTTTATCATAGTTAAAAGATCTGGTTTCATAATATTAATTTGTGTATATATACCTATAGTTTGCGATTTAAAAAAAAATCTATAAATCCAACAAATAACATTCAAAAATCAAAAATATAAGAGATAAAGATGAAAAATAAGACTTTTTTGATTTTACTTCCTTGCAGCCACCAAAACAAACGAAAACACACAAAAAATGATCTGTAAATATAGAAGTGACGTTCTATAATATCTAATGAGTCTCCACTTCCTATCTCTAGTCGTACTTTAGACGTGGCGCGTTTAAATGTTCATTAAACTGGAGGCAAAGTTATTGCAAGTCCTTTTGATATTTATATGGAAAATAAAATTTATCTTAAAATTACAGAGATATCTCTCATTGTAGAGAGATGTCTCTTTTAAAAAGAAATATCTCCCAGCTGAAGGAGATACCTCTTAATTTTATGAGATATCTCTCTTAAAAATGAGATATCTTTTACACTATATCACTTATCCTTAGATATCTCTATGCAAGAGAGATATTTCTTCAACTTAAACAGATATCTTTTTCTCCTTGAGAGATATCTTTTTCCTGTAAAGAGATATCTCTAAACCTTTAAGACATATATATCTTTCGCTAGACAGATCACTCTTTTACCTTGATCTTCCCAAGTTAAAGAGATATTTCTCAAAGTAAAAGATATATCTCTTTTAGTTTATCGTAAGATATATCTCAAAGTGAAAGCGATATCTTTCAAACGTGTCCAAAAGAGATATCTCAAGGAAAAAAGAGATATTTCTTTTTTGTAAAGAGATATCTCGCTTCATTATTTTTATTCAAATAGTGTTTAATGACTTCTCCCTTTACCGGTAAAAAGTTTTTTATTCAAGAAAGTATATTAACGTATCTTGAAAATTCGACATATTCTACATTATAGCTTTATCAAAATGACAAGTAATTTAGTGTTGTCTAGATTTCAAATTAGTAATAATTGATTTTTTCATAAGCTCAGAAAATTCGGTCCATTGCATTTGAGATTTTCTGCATGCTTTCGTTTTTCCTGAATATATTAAATTAACTTTTAGCATGTTTATCAACGAAGTTGCCATTGTTTTTCGTTGTTTCAAACAAGAGATTTATAGAATTTTTGTCTACATAGTACATATATTATTCTAGGTATGGTATGCTCAGTCTTTTTTCTCATAACAGCGAAATTATTCCAGAGACTTTACTTCCTGTCTCGCTTTCGTGTTAAAGGGGAATAATTATTTATTCTATTTGAAGGATCACTGGAAAATATACATTTCTTTCTGTAAAAGATATCTCTATTGCTTAGAAAGATATCTTTTTTGAAATATCTTAAAAGACATATCTCTAACTAAGACAGATATCTCTTTCGATCTCATTTAAGAGTGACTTATTTTTTTTTATTTTTGCTGGAAGCTTCATCGAAAACCACTGTTGTCAAGCAAACGTCTGCACAAAATTTGATAACAATAAGAAGAAACAAGAGGCCCACGGGCCTTACAGGTCACCTGAGTATCAAGTAACAACTTTTCAACAATTAAATTTGGTTCGTCATTAAATCAGAGTGAAATCACAGTGAAATTCACAATTTTGAAAGAGGAACAATTGCTTATCATAATTATAAACTTAGCATGCTTACTCTACTTAATACCCAGAGGTAGATCAGAAAATGCACTTGCATTTTATAACCAGTTGTGCACCGCACCCCAAAGGAACCACTGACCCTGGAGCCAGATATTTCAAAATTTTGGAAATTTTATCATATTATATCTTATTTCATCATAAATGGTTGATTAATACGAAAGAGCAGATTTCACAGCATTAATTTATTTTCAGACTATGTACCCCCTCCTCTTCCTATACCCTTGATACAGGGGGCATGGAATAATAAATCATTTTGCTAGATGCACCTTTCTTCATCATAGATATATATACTTGGATCATTAGCACAATACCCAGGAGCAGAGAAGAAGATTTTCAAAAGAATTAATGCAATTTCATTATATAATCAATAGAGCTCAGCCCTATCACAGGAACCCCTGATCCAGGGGCCATAAAATTCACAATTTTGGAAGAGGCACTCTTGCTCATCATACCTATATACTTAGTTTGTTTATTTAATACCCAGGACCAGAGGAGATTTTCAAAGAATTAATGCATTTTCACTATATAATCTCTAGAGCCCCGACCTAACACAAGAACTCCTGACACTGGGGCCATAAAATTCACAATTTTGGATGAGACTCTCTAGCTCATCATAACTATGTACTTAATCAGTTTATTTAATACCCAGGAGCAGAGAAGAAGATTTTCAAAGAAATAATGCATTTTCACTATATAATCTTTTTAGCCCCATCCTAGCACAAGAACCCTTGACCATGGGGCCATGAATTTCACAATTTTGGTAGAGGACTCAATGATCATTACATTCATGCTAACAGTTTGCCTGCTTGATGTCCAGGAGTAAAGAAGATTATTTTTAAAGATTTCATGAATTTTAGTGGTTTTGACCCCGCCCCATCGGCCCAAGGGGGGCAGGGACCATGAAATTCACAATTTTTGTTCCCCTTTACCCATAGATGCTGTATAAAAAAATGGTTGAATTGGTTCAGTGGTTTCACAGAAGAAGCTGAAAATGTTAAAATGTTAACACACTACACACGACGGACGACGACGAACGATAACGGATAGCAATAGGTCACCTGAGTGACTCAAGTGACCTAAAAAGAGGAAACAGTGGAGTCACTTAAAGTCCCCCATGAAAACGAAAGACTTTTATAATGATAACTAAAGTAACTGCTAATTGCAAGGGGAACAATTACAGATGGTCCCGAGACGGCTCACCACTCACTGTGACCCATTTCCAACAAGGGGAATTAAATTTGACAACACTTTTTATTATAAGTGTAAAATTGATTTTTTAAAGTATGTTATTGAAAAACTTCGATCTCTAATACTGCCGTATGGATAAAAGCTATTTTAATCCCGGAGTATATGAGTGTTTCTGGATTTTTTCAACACAAAATGTAAAATGTCAGATACATGTATCTGTCAACAATTCTTGCTTCATTCATGAAATCAAATCCCCATGAATCCGTAATTTTTCTCAATTAAACCAGGTACATTTGACCCCACGAAAATATGTTATCTAACAGTCCTTTTCTATGCTGTATTTTGGGCGCTCTTCCATATAAAACCGCATTTACATACATGCGCCCGTGAAATTCTGTCATGGGAATATTCCGTTTATTAGATAAAATGCATACATGTAGGTATATCATTCTGTACAATACAATTATAAGTTAGATAGAATACTAAAATCTCAAAAGTATTGAATTTTATTTCAGATATTCCTGACAGTTCGAAAACAATTTTCGTACATATATACCGGTACATGCTGTTTTATGTTTATGAAACAAATCGATAAATAATATCATGAGAGACATGTGAAAATTGCGATAAAATGTTTTTTCTTTTAATTGCAGGAATGGTCAACACTTAATCTACAATTTTACACAATTACATTAAATAAAAGTAGGTATTTAAGGTAGGATTCTTTTCTGGTTTCCGACTAGATTGAATATTCAAAGTATATTTGTTGATATGTCATATATATGTAGATGTTAGAGATTTAAAAGACCACAATTTTTCTTTCCTCATCACAATTATACAACTTTAAACTTTGAAAACAAGCAGGGACTATATTTTTGGTGGAATGGTGGGTATGAAAATATCTTCTTTTCTACCTCTCAAAATTTTTATAGAACATTGAATTTAGTTTACGCAAGCATAGGCTAGACGAAATTTTCAAATGTAAGTTAAATTAATAATAAATTACTAAAGTTTCAAAATATATCAAATAAACAAGAATTTTCACACATACTAGAACTATGTTGTCTTTTAAATGCTTCAAATCTAAGTACAGATTTGAGCCAAAAATCCGTAAAAAGTGTTATTTCTCTCTTAGTAAACGATCAAAACTTTTAGTTTTTGTATCATTTTGTACCTTTATGTGACAACTTTACTATATGTGAAAATTAAACAAAAATTAAATATAGGAAGCATATAAACATAACTACGTGTAATAAATCCTAAAAATTTAAGAAAAGTAGAGGAAATTCGGATTAGCAAATATCCATTTCATTTAAATTAGCAATGTCAATTTGGTAATATCATCTTAAAGGCCCTATATAGTAGTATCTTTTTATGCAAAAAGAAAAACATTCAATCTTTTGAATTACAAGTAGGGATTGCATGATTGGAAACAGCATTTTTTTTTATTCTTAATGTCCAAGAAAAGGTAATGACCTTGACCTGACCTTGCCTCTAATATTAAACGGTCAAATTTAATCTCACCATCACCTAGTGATATTGTCCTCTTGATATTCTGTGAAAATTTCATAATTTTTAAATACAAGATTTGTGAGAAGAATCCTATATCAAAAACAGTTAAAAACTATGTTTAAAGCGGGGGTCATCACAATTTTTTAAATCTCCGTACGAAAATGAGAACGCCCACTTTTTACTGACTTTATACAAAGTAAGCGCATGTTTGTCTATAACTGTTCTTCTTTTAACATTTGTTGTATATTTACGTAAAAGTGTGTCAAACGGAGATTGATAGACAAACATGCGCTCATGATTTAAAAGAGAAAAAATTCTTTCTCTTTGTTGTAAACAAGGACTGTAACACGTTGAATATTATAATTCACCACGTGGTTTCTTACTTAAGGAAAGTCTATGATACTAAATTCGTTATGTG